ATGTATCCACAAAGATTCTTGCTAGCATTTTGATAGGAACTGTGCTAAACTTAGATGTCCATTTGGGGAGCATGGATATCTTTAGTGTGTTGAGTCTTCCAACTTCTGAGCACAGTGTCTCCTCATTTCTTGGCTCGGTTCCATCAACATGTTGTTGTTTTCGACATTTGAGTGTGACACGCTTTTCTATATTTACACCTACGTGTTTTTCAGCAGTTATAAATGGTATTGTAACATTTTGGTGCTCGTGTCTGTGATATAGGAATACAATGGCTTGTGTGTGTTTCTTGTCTGGTTGAACTTGCTAAGTGCCCTGTTTGTTCTGCAGGTTTCTCTGTGGGGTCTGCAGAGACCACTGTGCTCTTTGCAAATGGGCTAGTTGGGTGGCCCCCTTCTGATTAGATTGCTTGTTCTTGCCCATTGGCGTTACTGTGTGGTGGGACAGGACCGAGTATGCGTCTAAGAGCCTGTGTCTTGACTTTTCTTATCTTAATGGGAAGTACTTGGGTTTTCATCATGAAGGTTAGCTGTAGGTCACTTGTTTTTCTCTTTCCTATCTTACTTCTCCATCCCTCACTCCTTCCTTTTTTTGACAAGTTTTAGAGATTCCCTCATATTCCTATTTCCAAGCCTTTTTTTTTATAATATTGTGAATGGGCACTGAATTTTATCAGTCGCTGATTTTTCAGATATTCAATTAGCTCACTCTCCTGGAATATACTGCCACAGTAATTCAATTTTGAATACTGCCAAATGCTCTCTGCTGCCAGATGTTAAGGACGTTTGTATATATGTTCATGAGGGATATTTGTAGTTTTCTGTGCATTCTTTGGTTTAGGAACCAAGGTAACACTAATTTCATAGAATGAATTGAGAAGTATCCCTTCTGAATCTATTTTCTGCAAGATATTGTGTAAAATTACTGTGAATTCGTCCTTAAATTTTGAGATGTCTTCATTAAAACCACCTGGGCCTGGAGAGTTTGCTTTGGGAGTTTTAACAGGAAAAATGCAGCCTCCTTGGTTCTGGGCTGGGATTTGACACACTGTGTGTCTTTGGGGATCCGTTTGTGGTGGCTTCTAAGTACTGAGCTGTCATTGCCCTTGCTTGCTGTCTTTTCTTGTCTCTGGGGTTCCCATTGATAATCTCCAACTCATTCATTCACCGTTGTTTCTCTTTGTCAGTCCATGCTGTTTTTATTTTATATTTTGGTGCTGTGGCGTGAACCCAAGGCCGTAATAACGGAGCTATAGTTCCACCCCAGGTCCAGTGTTGTTTATTAATCTTTTACAAACCACCAGCACTCCTCTCTTCCTTTTCTTTGGCTTCCATTATTATTTCCTTCTGCTTGCTTTGCTCCAGCTGGTTCTTCTCAGGGGTTCTTGAGGTGAGAGGTTGATTATTGGCTAGAGACTCTCACTTTTATCTCTGCACTTTTCCCTCTTGGCTCTGCCTCAGCAGCCTTCCACATGCTCTGCTGTGTTGAGTTTTCATTCCCATGGAATCCAGTGTGCTTTAGGTTGTCTCTTGATATTTCCACATGGCCCATGGGTTATTGAAGAATGCGTTGTTTGGCTTTCAAGTGTTTGCATATTTTCTTGCTGTCTTTCCACGGTCGATTTACAGTGTTTGTGGGTGGAGGACAGGTGCTGTGTGGTTTTGCTTAAGTGTTTGGGGTTGTCTGATAGACTAGCATAAGGCTCTCCAGATAATGCTCGGTGTACCTTTGAAGAGACTGCATGTCCTGCCCCTGTGGGAAGAGGGTTCTGTTGGTATCAAATTCAATGGCTTCTTGGTATCCTCAAGTTCTATGTCCCTGTGGACTCTCTTTTCCTTCCTCCTTCCTTCCTTCCTTCTTCCTTCCTTCCTCCTTCCTTCCTTCCTTCCTCCTTCCTTCCTTCTTCCTTCCTTCCTTC